GGTCTCGAACTCCTGACCTCAGGTGATGCACCCACCTTGGCCTCCCAAAGTGCTGGGATTACAGGCGTGAGCCACCACACTTGGTCCATTATAACTTAAAACTCTGGGCTGTAAAATAACATGAATACTTGACATAGTAAGTGTTCTACCACTTTTTTTTTAAAAAAAATATAGATTATATGTGGGAGGGGAATGGCAGCATTTCACTCACTGTGTGGTTCTGGCATCCAGCACAGTGCCAGGCACATATATGGGCTCTCCATAAGAAAGTTGAATAAGTTGATACTTTTGTGATACTGCCTTCTTTATTATACCAAGGACATAATAATTCTGGGTAGTATTAGACCCTGATTTTTTTTAACTCTGTGAGTAGAAATAAGAAATTCAATTATTCATTTATTATATATTTATTTATTTTTTTGAGATGGAGTTTCGCTGTTGTTACCCAGACTGGAGTGCAATGGTACGATCTCGGCTCACCGCAACCTCTGCCTTCTGGGTTCAAGCAATTCTCCTGCCTCAGCCTCCCGAGTAGCTGGGACTACAGGCGCGCACCACCATGCCCAGCTAATTTTTGTATTTTTAGTAGAGACGGGGTTTCACCTTGTTGACCAGGATGGTCTCGATCTCTTGACCTAGTGATCCACCCACCTCGGCCTCCCAAAGTGCTGGAATTATAGGTGTGAGCCACTGTGCCCGGCTTCAACTATTCATTTAAAGAGTACCTACTGTTTTCTAGGAGGTCAAGGCTTGGTTTTGTCTTTGAGGAAGGACTCTGCCTGGTTTCGGTAACCTGTCCCAGTGGGTTTTTAAGTGTGCTTAATGTACAGCAAATACTTTGATCTAAAGCAGAAGTTTGAGAAGCTGAAGCTTAGCTGAAGCATGTAAAAAGTCAACTCATTGGGAGATAGAGTGGCATCTCTGAAGAGCAAGTTTACTCTAAAAAAAGTGTTTTTTTCTTAAGGGTAGATTTATAGCTGCCCTGGGCCTTTGCGTTATTGTTTTTGGAAGCTGTAGACTTGTAGTTGCTCAGGCAGTTGCCAGCAGGAGATAGGAGTTGAGAGCTTGGAGGTAGCCTAAAGACAATTGGCCCTTGCCATCAGGTCATCTTGGAAAATACTGTGAAAAGGCATTGGATGCTTGATTAGTTTCATAGTTTCATTCAAGATTGAATAAAGTAGGTCAGGCACAGGGGCTTACCCTCATAATCCCAGCACTTTGGAAGGCTGAGGCAGAAGGATCACTTGAGGTGGGAAGTTCAAAACCAGCCTGGCTAATATGGCGAAACCCCTAATCTACTTAAAAAAAAAAAAAAAAAAAAGCAAAAACAGAAAACCCAAAAATTAGCCGGGTGTGGTAGTGCACACCTGCAGTCCCAGCTATTTGGGAGGCTGGGGCAGGAGAATCCCTTGAACCAGGGAGGTAGAGTTTGCAGTAAGCCGAGATTGTGCCACTGCTCTTCAGCCTGGGAGACAGAGGAAGATTTCCTCCAAAAAAAATATTGAATAAACTATATTTTGGATTATGTACTGATGTCACAAAACCATGTTCTGATTTTTTTTCTGGGGGTGTAGGGAGGGGCAAAGGGCAAAGGGTAAGATAATATTCCTTTTCTGAGACAGGGTCTCACTCTGTCGCCCAGGCTGGAGTGCAGTGGGACGATCATAGTTCACTACAACCTTCACATGTGGGCTCAAGTGATACTCCCATCTCAGCCTCCTGAGTAGCTGGGACTATATGTATGTACCACTATGTCTGGCTAATGTTTGTATTTTTTGTAGAGATGGGGTTTCACCATGTTGTCAAGGCTGGTCTTGAACTCCTGGGCTCAAGCGATTCATCCACCTCAGCTTCCTGAAGTGTCGGGATTACAGGTGTGAGCAACCATCTGGTCCATCTGCCTATGAATGGGGTCTTTTGTGCAAAGAATGACTATCCCTCTGGTAAGTCACTGAGGAAATGGGCATTCCTGGGGCAGGAAAGGAGGTCTCTCCTCAGCCTTGTGCAGGGCCTGAACCTGAACCTCAGAAGGGCACTCCTGAGAGGGCCAGGTAGTCTCTCAGGCCTAGAGACCGCCTGGGAGCTGGGCAGAGAAGGACTGGGTTGGGGATATCTGTGAAGGGGGTTGGACATGAGTGGAGAGCATCTATGTATGCATATTGTGTGGGCCCAGCATTCCCAGGTACAGATTGTATCCTCTGTCAATTAAGCATCTTTTTCCTGTTATGCTAGAGGCAGCAATTTTATAACACCTAATAGGGCCATACATTTTTCAACACAGTGATCAATCACACTGCATACTTGCGTGTGGCAGATATGATTAGTTCCATTCTATATGAGAGAGGTCTCCAGATAACATTTATTCGGAAACAAGAAAAGTCCCCAGCAGATTATGTCCTCCCGTTTAGACAGTGTATTGCCAATAAATTCAGTAGATGGAGGGCTGGACGTTGATCTAGTCAGGGTTACCAACATGTGATGATTCACTCAGAAGCTTTGTGAAATACTCCTTTACGACAATTACTAAGACTGACCCGTTCCAACATGGAAGCAGTCCAGAAGAACAGCGGGAAAAGTTAAATTGTTTTGCTGAGTAATGAGGGAAGCATATAGATAATCTCTAATATGCCGATGTCCTCTGGGCCAGTCCGTGGTACCTAATTTCAAGTTGTCTAAACTTTAGTTCCTTTCTTATCTCTAAGCTTCAGGATATCCTGCAAACACAGAGAATCTGCCTCCACTATCACAGTAGAGAGCTAAAGGGCAGGGCCCATGCTTCAGAAGGAATTCAGCAGAGACAAGCAGTGTGCTGATATGGTGGCTGCTGAATGGCTGGAGAAGATGGGTCCCAGGATGCCGCATGGATTGAGCTATCAGTAACTAAGGAATGATTGATGAAACATGTAAACATTCCCCAGAGAATTCCCAGAAACAGAACTTGATAATAGACTTTCCTCTCTGAAGATAAGTGAATTGCAAATTAAAGCGAACTGTGACCTCATAAACTGATGAAATTTGAGACTCTTAAACTGAGGGAGGAGATCCTTAATCACCCTTAAGCATCTAAGACCATCCCCCACATGACTTCCACACTGCATTTCAATAGGAAAAGTAAAGGGGGCATACTGGGCAGCACCTTAATTGCCCTGCTATAGATCACAGGCATGGTGTGGAGGAATCTTTCCAGAAGGCATTGTTTTTACTTAAATGAGATCAAACCCCCACCTAAGTCACTATACGCCTTGCCTACTCCAAGACCCTTTCACATGTATATTCTAGAGTTGTAAGCCCAAGACCCTTTCACATGTAAATTCTAGAGTTGTAAGCCCAAGACCCTTTCACATGTAAATTCTAGAGTTGTAAGCCCAAGACCCTTTCACATGTATTTTCCAGAATTGTAAGCCCAAGACCCTTTTACATGTAATTTCTAGAGTTGTAAGCTTTTAAAAGGGCAGGGACTTTCTCTGTGAGTTTGAGCTTGGCTGTTAGGCAACTATGCTGCCTTGCTCCTGGGGAAAAAAATCACCCCTTCCTTCCCAGTTCGGTGTTGGAGAGGTCTGTTTCCCCACCTTTACTGCTTCAAAGCTATATATGCTGCTTCTGGGTTATGTGTTCTGTGGCATATCTTAGTGAATACCACAATGTTTTAAGTACCATAGACTTATGCGCCACTGCATTCCAGCCTGGTGACAGAGTGAGACTCTGTCTCAAAACAAAACAAAACAGAAAACCCAACCAATCAACCAACCAAACAGAAGCCTACAGCTTCAGCATGAAGGCAGAATTGCATGTTTCCATGCAGAAAACGTGGAAAAAAACAGAGGCTGGGATTTGATCAGTATATGAGGCCCTTGAGCACTGGAGCAGAAAGGACTCTTCTGGAGATTTTACTTCCCTGTAACTCTCCTTATCTTTTGTACTTTTTTTCTCCCCCCAGTTTTACTTTCCATCCTGAGGCCTGAAGACCTGGATTTTCTTTGCTAAGTGGGTGGTATTGCAAAATGGGAATTATTCTATTTAAAGCTGGTTCTAGGAGTGTTTTGAAGTAGATAAGCTTTCCTTCAGCCTGCCTTTCTGAAATTTGTTCTTTTTTTTTTTTAACTGACGAGGTTTCACCATGTTGGTCAGGCTGGTCTTGAACTCCCAACCTCAGATGATCTGCCCGCCTTGGCCTCCAAAGTGCTTGGATTACAGGCGTGAGCCACTGCGCCCGGCCATGAAATTTGTTCTTTTTAAAAAAATGGTTAATGCACTTTTTTCCTCATGTAGCTTGTTTCTACTTTTTTTTAAATTTATTTTTATTTTTATTATCTTTATTTTTTTTAAAGATGGGGTTTCACCATATTGGTCAGGCTGGTCTCGAACTCCTGATTTCAGGTGATCCGCCCACCTCAGCCTCCCAAAGTGCTGGGATTACAGGCATGACCCACCATGCCCGGCTCTACTTTTTTTTTTAATGGATGAGAGGCTTATACGTTACCCAGGCTGGCCTTGAATGCCTGACCTTGACAACTCATGTGCAAGAACAACTGGCCTGGGCCACCGTGGCTCCCAAGTTTTTCTACTTTCTTACTTGCTTAGGATCAACACCGTTTTCAGAAAAACACCTACTCTCTTTTCCTTTCCTTTTTTTTTTTTTTTTTTTTTGAGACAGTGTCTTGCTCAATAGCCCAGGCTGGAGTGCGATGGTGTAATCTTGGCTCACTGCAACCTCTGCCTCCCGGGTTCAAGCTATTCTCCTGCCTCAGCCTCCCAAGTAGCTGGCTATGTGCCACCACACCTGGCTAAATTTTGTATTTTCAGTAGAGATGGGTTTGACCATGTTGGCCAGGCTGGTCTCGAACTCCTGATCTCAAGTGATCCACCCACCTCGGCCTTCCAAAGTGCTGGAATTATAGGCCACTGCACTTGGCCAGAAAATGTCTACTTTCAATGATTTATACTTTAATTTTACTTAAAGTCATTTAACCATCTCCAACTTCTGAGACCTATGTAGAAGCCCCAACTTTTTCCCTGGGTTAAAAGAATTTCAGGTATTAATAGATAAGATTAGCATGGCCCTGTGCAAGAATGACACACACATTTGTGAGCGTTCCATATTTTATAAAACAATTTTAAAAATAAAAAAAAGAATTTCAGCTATCTGAGAATAGGAGGTGCTTTCTTGGGGCATCTAAAATTAATAAGTAGGCCGGGCATGGTGGCTAACACCTATAATCCCAGCACTCTGGGAAATTGAAGCGGGCTATCACCTGCGGCCCGGACTTCCAGACCAGCCCTGCCAACATGGTGAAACACCATCAGTCTCTACTAAAAATACAAAAGTAAGCCAGGCTTGGTGGCAGGAACCTGTAGCTCCAGCTACTCAGGAGGCTGAGGCAAGGAAATCGCTTGAATCCAGGAGGTGGAGGTTGTGGTGAGCTGAGGTCGCACCACTGCATTCCAGCCTGGGCATCAAAACAAGACTCCATCTCAAAAAAATAAAATAAAAATGATAAGTAAGGGTCTAAATTTGCACTTCAATACAAGAGGATAAAGAACCCAGAGTGCTCAAGTCTATACTTATTTTTGATAGTCTTGATTGTTGTTATCTTTTCCTTACATTTCCATTGACTCAGTGCCTAACCAAAACGGTTTAGATAAGCAGGGCATTACAGGTGAAAGACAAGTGTACAAAGCTTCATTCCCGGCTTCCTTTTTCAGACAGTATATCTTCGATGATCGAAAACAACAACAAAACCTGATAAAGTTCCTTGTAGTTCTAAGATCCCAAGGGTCCTGAATACAAAGTCTCTATTATGTTCTTCTCTGGATAAAAGCACCTGTAGACTTTATAACATAATCCAGGAATGAAGAGAAAAAAAAAAAACAAAAGCTACCTTTAGGAACAAAAAGGGCAAGAAGCTGAAATACAGAAAGCCTTCTGAGAACACAGAGGACATTTAGCAAAAGGTGGAAAATCTGACTGTACAGTCACAGTCTTCCTCTCCATAACAATTATTTTTCCTCCTCTCACTAAAATAGAGAAATTTTTATTGTCACAAGCACATGTGTATTACTGGCAATAAGGATATAACTGTATAGGACACCTCCTTAAACATCTTCCTTATTTTAAGTTAGGGGGAAATGACTAGGCATTCCCAGGATTTTCTGGGTTGCCATGGATACCTGTCATCCACATCCAGAGCCTGCAGGTTACACTCAGGGACTCTTGCCAGCTCGTTAATAATATCGCTGAAGCCCGCTGCCGCTGCAATATGGACACACGTCTTCCCACGCTCATCGTCGTAGTTGATTATAGATGGCCCCTGGTGATGGCTCAGGATGATGGTGCACAGAATCCTATTTCCACTCTGGAAAAGAGAGTCAAGAAAGCCCAACATGTACAATCCAGTGTTTTTCTCTATCTAGGCATGTTAAGATAAAAATACAAGTTAAAAAAAGGAAAAAAAAGATGAAAAAGAAAAAAAGAATAAAAATACATTGTATCTAAACTCTCCAACAAATTTTCACTTGTCTCAAGTCACTGCAGAGATTCTTGTCTCCCATAGGAGCTAAATTGTCTTCCATAATTAGTGAATGAAGGATGGACTGAAATTAAATACAGGTGCCATGCACTGACATCCAAGCTAGAGTGATGGATGGGCCACCTAGACAACAACTTGCTCATTAGGTCTGACCATTTGTTTCCCCATTTGCCGTAGAGCCTGGCCGCTGAGAAAATGACAGAGTTAATCTTAATGATAAAGCAGTGACTGTGATGAGTACTGACTGGTGGTGCAGTGATGCAGGAAAAAAGCCCATTTCTGGGTAGGGCCAATGAGCAGGGGGCTGAGAATTTGTCCCAGGGAGCTTGGGAAGCAGAACTGTGTAAGCAGAGGCTACAGTCCAGTATCAGACTTCCTTTACAAAAACAATTAAAAGATAAAGTGAGAATTTCCAGATGGGGACCACAGCACATTATGCCTTAAGCACAGAGTCCCATCTGAGTACCAGGCCCTCTATGGCTGCACTGGTTACATACCCATAAAGTGGTCTCTGCCTACAAACTTTTCTTTCTCTTCCTATCCTCTTCCCCTTTGTGTCTTCTTCCTCCCTCCATCTTTCCTTTGTCTAACAGTGATTTTAAATAACTTTGACCAATTGTTTAAGTTCTATGGCATGCCTGTTTTTAGAAGTCAGCTAAAGGGTGGGTGAACACACCTAGGCTTTCATCTTAGATAGTCAAGAGACACTGTTCTTTAAAAGCACTAGCCATTCATTAAGGAAAACAGAAGCAAAAAGAGTGTCAGCACAACAATTTTTTTTTAAGATGGAGTCTCACTCTGCGGCCCAGGCTGGAGTTTAGTGGCACAATCTCAGCTCACTGCAACCTCTGCCTACCAGGTTCAAGCGATTTTCCTGCCTCAGCCTCGGAAGTAGCTGGGATTACAGGCACCTGACACCATACCTGGCTACTTTTTTGTATCTTTAGTAGAGATGGGGTTTCACTGTGTTGGCCAGGATGGTCTTGAACTCCTGACCTCATGATCCATCCACCTTGGCCTCTCAAAGTGCTGTGATTACAGGCGTGAGCCACCGTGACAACAACTTTTTTTGTTTGTTTACAATTTCCAGGAAGAGTAAAGGAATTAAAATTGGCAAGGTGGTTCAAAGGGCAAAACACCCTGTTCACAGCTTCTACTCTTGGTGGAAGAAGAAGCATTAAGTGCAGATGGAGAAAACAAAACCCCACCCTCATACTCTCTTCCTTTCACCTCACTTGCCCCTGGGGTGGAGACATTTTGGAAGTGGTAAACTGAACTAGAGGCTGCTGCTTCTGGGATCCTGCCAGCCAGTCCCAGGCAGCAGGCCTTTTGGCAGCTGGGGTGCTATTGACAGCCTCTCTGGATAAGTAAAGACAGACTCCACACCTTTACTCTGTTCCTCTAAAATTCCTTTTGTCCTAAATTCTCCAGACAACTCCTTTGCCTGTATACCTGAATGTCACTTACAGCACCATTGTTTGAATTTTTTTTTTACTTTTCTTTTCTTTTTTTTTTACACACCCCCAAACCCTTTACTTTTCTTTATAAGAAGATCCTTCCAGGAATAATGGTGACAGCTGTATTTACTGTGTGAACATCTGTGCCTGGCACCTTTCTAAGCCATTTCATGTACTAGCTCATGAACAACAATCCCACAGGGTTGGTACTCTTATTGTTCTCCTATTGTGGAGGAGAAAATGAAGACATAAGAGATTAAGTAGGGCCGGGCGCGGTGGCTCACGCCTGTAATCCCAGCACTTTGGGAGGCCGACGCGGGTGGATCACGAGGTCAAGAGATCGAGACTGTCCTGGTCAACATGGTGAAACTCCGTCTCTACTAAAAATACAAAAAAGTAGCTGGGCATGGTGGCGTGTGCCTGTAATCCCAGCTACTCAGGAGGTTGAGGCAGGAGAATTGCCTGAACCCAGGAGGCGGAGGTTGCAGTGAGCCGAGATCGTGCCATTGCACTTCAGCCTGGGTAACAGGAGCGAAACTCCGTCTCAAAAAAAAGAGAGATTAAGTAATTTGCCCTCTGTTACAGCTAAGAATGAGCAGACCGAGGATTGACTGTGGAGGCATTGGACTTCACTACTACACCATTCCGTCTGTGATAAAAGGAGTGGTCTATTAATTTGATCCTTCATGTTCATACTGGAGGAAGTAAAGTGAAAACTGTTTAGACCTACATCAGTAGTAGTGATGAGTGCCTCGCCAACTGAGAACTCCTTTAGAGTTAATCTTTGGGTACTTTAAAAGTTTCTCCTAGGAAGGTTGCCATGGTACACTCTCAGGAGAATTTGAGGGAGCCCTAGAAAACACTAATTTGTAAGCCAAGACCCTGGATCATTTGTCTCCTGGTGACAGAATTCCCTTCTTAGTAATCTAGACTGTGTGTCAGCCAAAAATAGGCTTAGACCTGGGAGGTAGGGAAAGTCACAGAGACCAGGAGACACTAGACAAGAAGAAATGGGACTGCGGTCCAGGTGGGTCCTTAGGAAGAATGGAGCGTAGGTTTACATTGGGTAGGAATGTTATTAAATAGGGCAAGGAACAATATTCTACATATCCTATTCGTATGGAGCTCTAGAATTCTACACTGAGCAGCCAGATGATGATTGTGAGTTTGTTTTTGTTGTATTTATTTATTTGTTTTTGTTCATGGGTAATCCATAACATTGCCTTCATGTATTCTGAAAATGACTGGGAACTGAGTCTTAGTCGTTTTCTCTTTACCCATCATGAGTGTGGAGAGTTGGGGAAGGCTGACTCATAAGAAGCCTTGCCAAGAAGAAAGTTGAATTAATGTGTACTAATTTTGCTACAGGCAGATTGATAAAACAACAACAACAAGATCTTAATATCCTAACTGTAGACCCTTGTTATTCTAGCTGACCTTCAAAGGACTCTAGTGGCAGACTTAAAATCAGTTGGTTGTTTGCTAACATACATCTGGGGAATACGTTCTATGATGGCGTCTTCTTGGTGGGAACTCGAATCTCCTTCCTTCTCTTGAACACTGGGATGTGTCTGCATTGCTTGTCTTGTGGTGGTGACCAGAGAAAGCAGAGACCAGTGCTTTAGCCTCTGTGTTGCAGTCACTCATCTCTCCTAAAAGGCTGAGAGGTTTTGTGATGTGAGAAGATGAGCCTGGCTCATCTGCTGGAGCCAGACATGTTAGACTAGAATGGAGACGAAAGGAAGATCTAGAGTCTATGCTGTGTGACGTTTGAGGGTTGAGGGTCTGGGGCTAACTAGAGAAAGAAATGTGCCCAATATCCCTGGGTTAGATCTGGACTGCCTTCATGGTTAGCCCCTTTGGACCAAGCTTTTGGTTGGGCTGGACTCCAGAGGCTGCCAAACCCCAAAGCCGGGGGCTGCCTCTCCTGGAGAGAAAGCAGAAGATAGAAACAGTGGGAGGGGATGAGGCATGGTGACCCTCAGCTGCTGAACTACTTCATTTCTTTTTTTGAGACAAAGTCTTACTCAGTCACCCAGGCTGAAGTACAACGGCATGATCTTGGCTCACTGCAAGCTCTACTTCCTAGGTTGAAGTTATTCTCCTTTCTCAGCCTCCTAA